TGGGGATCAATCTTATTACCAGCCCCCCATCTCACCCTCCGGGATTTATTTCTCCCTTTCTTATTAGCGGACACCTTGCTACTGCAGTTAGTGACCCTGGATGAATCCTCCCCTTGCACCCAAGCTTCCCAGCCCCCCAGCACTACAAAGAGCCAGTCAACAGAGAGCAGCGGAGGCTAATCTGGCCGAGAATGGGGAAGACAACACAATAACCTCCCTTCTCTCCCAACACTAGGAAATATTTACTTTGTCCCTGAGAAAACTCTTCGCTTAGATTCAAGGACGTCACATCCCCTAGCAGAGTACAGTGGCACCGCAGAGCAGTGGCGATCCCAGTATCCTAGGCCTCACGCATGCGCGCAGACTCCTGAGCCCCTTGTGGGCAGGCCGGGGTCCTTCCAGGATCCACAGCTCCAGGAGCCCAGTCTTTCTTTCCTTTTTTTTTTAATTTAATTTATTTCTTTTTAGAGAGGGAAGGGAGGGAGATAGAGAGAGAGAGAGAAACATTGAAAGGAGTGAGATAGATAGAGAGAGAAACATCAATGTGCGGTTGCTGGGGGCTGTGGCCTGCAACCCAGGCATGTGCCCTGACTGGGAATCGAACCTGCGATGCTTTGGTTTGCAGCCCGCGCTCAATCCAGTGAGCTACGCCAGCCAGGTACAATCAGTCTTTCTTGACACAGCTGCCATGCCTCCCCCTCCCCAAGGCGCTTATCCCCAGACGGTATCCCTTCTGCTTCTTAGCTTGTCACCCAGGATGCTTTTAACTTCAGCACTCAGGCGTTTTCAAAGACGCTCTCTGAGCTTTCTCCTCGGGCCCTCCTGACTAGTAGTGACTTGTGTGACATTCAAATCAAAGGTGGCAAAGAGACAGGGTGTCCTCAAAGTAAAATTGCCAACCTAGCTAAATCAGGATTAGTCACACAGAAATACCACTGCCAGTCACAGCCCACTTCAAGAGTGATTATTTCTTTCCTCTAGTCACGTTTATAGTATGACTTTAGAATAGGATGGATCTGTAACAGTACCAGCAGTGCAAGGAGACACCTTATTCAAAAAAAGGTTGGGCTACGTTTATGATGGACTAGCTCTGACCACCTCTCAGCCTCTGGGAGGTAGACGTATAGTTCTTATTTGTGAGCGCATGTGTTAGGTCCTTGATACCACGAAGAGACGCTATCCCAGCTCTTCTGCTCGGATGCTGGAGGTCCTATTGACTGTCAGTGCTCCACATGTATCCGTGTGGCCCAGAACTTATGTTTAAGACATGCCAAAAATGAAAACTAGGTCTAGTCATGAAATAGCTCATAAACATTTTCCCTGGAGAACGAACTCAAGAAACCCCACTCTCTTTCCCTCTTTTCTCTGAATCCTGCTTCCCCTTCTCCCACCCAGTTCCTGACAGAGTAACGATGAAGATGGCTGAGGGGCCCTGCCCGGGTAGCTCAGTGGTTAGGAGCATCATCCCAATACACCAAGGCTGTGGGTTTAATTTCCAGTTGGGACACTCACAATAGTCAATCAATGAATGCGTAAATGAATGAACCAACAAACTGATGTTTCCGTCTGTCTCTCAGTCCCTCTGTCTCTCTCTCTCTCCCTTCCCCGTTCCTCTCCTCTGTAAAATACATTTAAAAATTTTTAAAAAAGACTGCTTGAGTAGCTTCAAAGAGTGAAGCTAAATTAAAGAAAGGGAAGTTGAGTTCTCGGTTAAAAAGACTGATTTCCTTATTTTGCCAGGCGAAACCACGTCTGGAGGTAGAAAATGAAAACAAACGTTTCTGAGTGGTGGATTCTTTAATAACTCCAGACTCTGCTTCCAGAGGGAGGAAGGCGCATACAGTTAGGGACGTATTTTTGTAGCCATTGGGAGACTGAAGTCTCCCGCTGGTCAGGAGGAGGCATGGTTTTTTCAGAGTCTGCATACTGCCCTCTCCTGGCCTGTGTATATATAGGACTGTTCCCTGCACGGCGAGCGAATTCATTTGCACCCCACACCTGCATGAGATACGTGTGTGCGCATGAGACTTGGTTTCCAATGCCAACTCTTACCGTAAATGCCAGTTCTCAGAAAATCCTACCGTAAGTTTATACTCGGACTTTATTTGAGGAAATAAACTTTTATCCCTTTGGCTCCTGGATGTATGTTAAAGGATGCTGATCTTTGTACCCTCTCACTTCATAGACCTGTCATTTTATCCTGTCACTGCTGATTTCCTCACTGTCACGTGGCTCTGGGGCTCTGCTCCGCAGCGCAGGGTGCTCCACCCCAGCCGGGCCCGCGGCTGAGCAGGCCAATCAAAGACGTTCTCCCAACTAGAAGTGGTATCGATAGGGAATACCTGCATTTAGGTTCATGGTTTGAGGACCCTGTTTGAGCCTGACACAGGATCATAATTGATTCTACCCACCATGGGTCAGCATGTCCAATTTATAAAAACAAACAAACAAACAAACAAGCAAGCAAACCCCAGAATGCTGTGGTGGAAATACCTACACAGCTACAGAAGCGGCCGGCACCAGAGGCTTAACTTATAATTGCACACTTTCCCCTTCAAACCAACACGTCTCTGTTATCAGTTCCTTGTGTGACTTGTTCCAAGTCCCATACTCGGCACGTTTCCCCAGGTTACAAGACCAGTGCTCTCACCCCTGAGCTATAGGGCCACATTTCCCCAGTTTAAATACTTTTCTCCTAAGTACTTAAAGGTCCCTGACACTGAGCAAACGCCTGCCACCTGGCATGCTAGCTGTGGCCACACCCAAGTCCAACAGGAGGCTGGTCTAACCTTTTCCTGTGCCTGCCTGTGTCTCTGCAGTTTCTCCCTGTGTGTCCTTGACGCAGGCAGGCCCGTCCTCTCCATATCAATGACAACTCAAAGTCTAATTCCATTCCTTTGCCTTAGAAGAAGAGGGCTAAGGGAGAGGCGCTTGCTTTAAAGAGACTTAAGAGCATGTACCTTGTTCAGACATTAGCAGACTTATAGCTTGAGGGTGTCCAAAGCTCTGGTTGGCTTATACCAGGATCACGGGGCAAGAATGTTTGATTTCCTCTCTCAGTGAAGAATGATAGCACAAAGCAATGAGTAATCAAAGCGTTGTTGGAATTTATCTTTAAGAATCCATTGATGGCTCTCAGTCCAGACAAAGTCTGTGTATTCAGCCTCTCATTCACTCAGTTGCTACCAACACGCCCAACATCGTTTTAGAGTTTGAACGGTAAGAGGAAAGTGGGTCTCCATTTACTTCAGGTATTATATTAATAGAAAACTGATGAATGATTACAGTGATACAAAGCTACCCTATTAACTACAAATAGATTTAGTTGGTTCAATTAATATGTACTTATGTGAATAGGTAAATTCTTTACCTAAAGTTCATTGTGGTGTAAAAAGAGAAAAATATTCATCTACAAAACCAAAATGCTCTCTCCTAAATATAGTATTTAGTTGCCATATCTACTCTTTGAGATGCTTCCTAAATCACCTTGTTAAATCATTCAAATCTGGGAACGGGCAAAAATGTAGTTTATACTGTGTATATTATTCCTCCACGGTATAGCTAAGCATGAATTCCCCTTAGTGATAGAAGAATGTGTTCATCGGATTAAAACCAGAGCAATGTAAATATTCCCCAGTGTGATATGGAAAACAAATACCTTTCTTAGAACTTCCTTATCTTTCCTGACGAGGCACGTGCCTTGGGATAAGCACCGCCCAGTAAACCGGCATGACTGCGGGACTAATTGTGAGTTATCGGGGATGGTTTGGATACCACCTACTACGAATCCACTGACAGGATGCTATTTAGACTTAAAATAACATATTCTATTGTGCCTGCACCTGCTGCGGTGTCGTGCTGTGGTTAACTGGAGTCCCGATCTGTGTCTGTTCTTCACTGCAGGGAAAGATCGTCCTATAGAAATTCGGAGCAGTTACACACCAGCACTTGAGGATGGCCCAAAGCAAGACTAATCTTTGAACGGAGCCTTCACTCAGTCCCCTCTGGCTTTTCCAAGGGAAAAACTGAACTCATTAAGCAATGTTAATTTAATCACAAGTAGTCAACGGGGGGAACAAAAAGTTATATAAGCATCTTCAAAATTCAAAACCAAACATGGTAAAATCTCAGGAGATAGATTAAAAAAATAATAAAAACAGTGTCTCAAAAATAAAAGGAATCAAGGAAGGAAAAGAAAGAAATGGCCAGATGTCTACCAAGTTTAGGATCAAACAAAAATCAACCCCCGAACTACCATTTCCTTACAGGTATATTTATGACAGGATTCCAATTCATGACTTTCCAGTGTAGTTACACATGAGGTCCTGAAACTCACCCAGCCTGCCGGTGCAGAATTACAACTGCATTTTCAGCTCCTAGGGCAATGTGAAAATAAACCAGGTACACAGCCAGGGTCCCTGACAATTACATTAAAAAAAATCTCTCTCTGTTTTTCCTCTTCTGCTTTAAGCATAGAGAGCATAGCAATACAGTGATATGTCACTCATAAGCCTCCTCCACCCTGGCCTTAAGCTTTAAAGATCAAAGCCATGCCCAAATCCCCCGTCGTTCCCATGCTTACGGGGAGGATATTCACCTGGTAGGTGGGTGGGAAATGTTCAAAGCTGCTTTCTAACAATCTCGTGGTGTTTGCCTTGCTGTAGGTCCTAACGATAAAAGAGGTCACCAGGAGGTATAAATGGAGAGCATGACAGCATGCAGGTACTGAGGTTATTTAAAAAAGAAAAAGGAAAACCAAAGAGGGCACGGTCAAGTTTGAAGGTCCTTGCTTTTCACCCACGGATAATTCAAAAGGTGAATAAACCTTGTAGTCTCAAAACGCAAGGCAAACAGCCTGAATTTTCGCACTCTGGCGACACATTCACTGAGCACTTCCCATTCGGACCGGCAAGGGAACAATGTCAATTACTTGTAAGTGTCTCGTGAAGGTAGAAATCAGCAGCCGTGCCCGTGTCAGATTAGCCGCGGCAAGCTCGTACCTGCAATGACGTGATGGAAGCCGCCTCCTCGGGTCCCTTCTCTCTGTCTCTCCCTGTCCCTCCTTCTCTGGGTGCTACAGTCCGCGACAGCCGGACCCCAGCAGAAGCGCAGAAGCGCCGCGCGCTGGCGTGTGCAGCCCCGGGCGGTCGGCGGCGGCAGCGCTTGCACAAGGAACCCAGCCGCAGACTCAGCTGTGACTCCTCTCTCGGCGCTGCACGGGGATATTATCACAGTCTGGGATTTCTATTGGCTCTGAACACCAAACAAATCACACCAGCCACCCCCCTTCTCCGTTTCACTCAGCGCTTGTTTCTCATCTAACCCACAAACATTGCAGCCACACACACTTCAGTCGCTTGCAATGTTTCTCTTTTCCTCCTTCCAGTCTGTGGATTTACAACCTTGTGGTCAGCTGTAACCTTTTTTTTTTTTAAGCAGACTTCCAATCCAAAGCTTCTTGTTTATGTAGAGAAATTCTCCATCCCCTCAATCCGCAAAAACCACTCATTTGCCTCAGATCTTCTTCCTTCTTTTGTTGATGGGTTTGCAATGTGAAGAATGCACCAAGCATGTGTGTGATAGTCTGCACTCTCTCTCTGTCTCCGTCTATCCCCCTCCCTCTGCTCCTATTGTTTTGAATAACTGAGGCCAGTGAAATTAAAAGCAAGCTGAGCCTTATAACCTAAGTTAGAGCTCAACTAATAAAAGCTTGAATGAATTCAGTGGAAAACACTCATTGCCTGAGTTTGTTTTCTGTTCCAAACAGCGCTTTGGTCGTCATATTCCTATTTTTGTTTATTGAATGCAGAGGTCTCTAATGCAATTCAGACTCCAGCATCCAGAGAACCGGGGAACAATGACGTCAGACCAATCCTTGGGCTGTGTGGGCTCAGGGTGTTAATATCAGAAGGCTCCCGCGGTGCCTGCGAGCTTCCTCTTTTCATCATTTTTTGGGGTCTTCTCCCCATTCGTAGTCTGAGCACTGAGACTCTCTTAGTGTGATTCACTAGCCAAAAAAGACTGATAAAGTTTCCTGGGTTAAAAATTTGAGTCTGTATATGTCAATAGAGACATATTGGCCCCTCAAAGAAAGAGCCCGAGAAAAATCTTTCATCCTACAAACTTGGCTGGGAAAATTGGGAATAAAATAACGTTTCCCCATGTTTTATAAAACGGACCCACCTTTAGTCATTCCCCCAAATCATTTTCACTGGTGCCTATGGAAATTTTAATGACAGTTATTCTCGACAAGAAGTCACTGCTTCTGAAATCACTGATCTCTACTTTGATTTTTGACTTGAAAAAAATGTCCCCAATATTATTCCATTTGTATGTTATTTGGTATTTGATATTCTGGTTCCAGTTCAACTCATCATATATTTTGTCTCCAAATCACAGGACAAAAAAGAATTCATTTTTGAAATGTATTATCACCCAACAGCCTACCTGCTTGTTTTTCTTCCTTCGGCACATTCCAGGAATTCTGAAATGAAACCTATTTTCAGAATGGGCCAACCTGAAAGCAACTGGAATTGACAAAAGAAATGCAAAACAAAACCACATTTGGCTGTTCGTTTCTGCCAACCAAAATCCCACTTCAAATGGCATATCCTTAGTATTTTAACAATTCCAATCCCTCCCCTCTTTTTAGGTAAGCAGTTAAAAAAAATAACATGCTCATAAATCCTTGAATGTGTGGAGTGCCTTTCCTTTAAAGGTCTCAACAGCCTTGGAAAGAAAGAAGACGTAGCTCTTCCAGGTAGAGAAACAGCGTTGGAGGGTGATTAAGTGACTTGCCTTAGGTTATGAAGGTAGACAGCAAACAGGGCTGGGGGGCTGGGTGACTGTTTCACTTCTTATCTTTTTGGGGGATTACCTTTCTATACAAACCATTCAACTAAAAAAAAAAGTGGTGTCAATACAAGCAGATTCAGAGAGACCTAAAATTCATGAACTCATCTGACCACAGTGATAAATATTCATTTTACACCTCATTCCAGGACAGGTTATATGTTCCATTAAAAGGTAATTTGTACTTTTCTTAGAATTGCCTTTCTAGGGAAAAAAAGTGATGAAAACAAGCAGGTGGATATATTTTCATCTGGTTGTTTTGGGGGACTCATTATAGCTCTTTCTGTCATTAGAGAGACAGTGTACCTAAAATCATGGATAATTTAAAGTCACAGATAAATCTTAAACTTCATTTAAAGCAATAATTCAAGCCCTCTTTCCTCCAGTTAATGAAGAGCAAAACTGGATGAATAAGGAATTACCTCGTCCTCAGTCAGTTGTGTGATTAAGGAGAAAAGGAACATTAGAACATCTTCTTCTACGGTTATCTTTTTGATTATTTTGTTACTTTTAAAAAGTTTTTTTTCCCCAAACACTGTCATTCAGTTAGCTCTTCACAATGCCGCCAATAGTGGTAGTAGGAAAAATGTTCACAGTGCAGCATGCCCAATCTCGGCCTGCCCTGCAAGTCAGTGGCAGAACAATCCTGGTTTTATCCCCACATTCGGCTACATCAGAATCATCCTGTCTCGTTCCGCGTGGTGCTTTTTACAGAAGACCTTTGTACAAGGGTGTGTGTCCGAAGGAGGAGATAAGACAATGATCCGGATACTGTCATTTATAAGAGATGGTGGAGAGAACTGGGCAGTTTGTCTTTCAGAAGGGACTTGGGGTGGAGATGATAACACTTTTCAAATGTTAAATGTGGAAGAGGAAATGTGTTTGCCATCCATGTATGCTTCAGTTGCATTGTCCTTTTCTAAGCTGCATCTTTAAACAACCCTAGGAAGAAGGTAGGGTAAATAATTTTATAGGTAAAGTTTGTGTAGTAAAGTGGCATGATTTAGTTATGGGTAGGGTGCTAAAGGACGGGGGAAGCTTGACATGAGTTCCAAACCCAGTGCTATTATTCCAGGGAGAGTTAAAGGAGGCGGACAAAACCGAGGACTGGGAGGACCTCCCGTAATTAGAACATTCGAGCAATTGAAGAGATTTCCCAGCAGACTGATGATGTCCCTGTCACTGAAGTGGTCACGAGAAGGGCTCACAATCACTTAAAGAGATTATTTAAGAGTTGCTAAAAATGCCAGACAAGATGATCCAGGGTTTGATTTTATTATAGGCCTTTATAACAGTATAAAAGAATTTGTAATTTAATTGAATGATTTTCATTTTAATAAAGAAATGAGTGAATCCTGAATAATTTTCAGTTTATTAATTAACAATTAAATCTATGTTTATGATATAAGTACTTTTCTGGGCTAAAGATGATTATAGATGGTCATTTAACTTTACCGTGACATATATCCATACATATGTTCTGTGATGAATATGTATTATTTATAATAAGGAAACCCTTTTCAAAATATGAAAGAAAAGTTTTAAAGGTCACAATATTTTCTACTATTCAAAGATACAAGATTTCCACAAAACTAGTATGCTGAAGACTGATTCCATTTCTAGTTCTATAAGTGTCACAGTCTTCATCTTTTCTGTAAGTATTTTTTTTCCAACGTAGGCTCATTGCCATTGTCATGCAGATATTCTTTCCCTGGTTATGTCCATATTTGTCTTAGTAGTATTTTTTTAGCCTATCAATTTATTGATAAATCCATTTATGCTTGTTTAGTTCTATTATAGCTGCAATCATTTTCCTTAGTTTATCACAGCAGTTTCCATTTCAAGCTATTAAAATGACTTCGACACATGAAATTTAAAAAATCAATTTAAATATATATAGCCTTCTGTCAGATAAAAATCTTTATCTTATAAAAAGCCAAAATAAGCTCTGTTTATTACTGCTGTATACTTGTATCAAAATCCCCAAATGATATATGTATTTATGGCTTACTGATACATATGAATCTATACTCTTCCTATCCACCAATTTCAACTGTTTACATGTATGAAATAGTATTTCTCTCTCTTGTGTCACAATATTCCTGCCCAAAATACATAACATTGATTTATAAGAGTTTCATAGGAAAAAATGTAGCCTCGCTGTGGCGGGGAGTAAACTCCTTGGCCACAAGAGTGCCATCTGTCATGTGTGTGTCATCCCGCTGGAGCAGACAGAGCATAACTCGCAGAGGAGCTGGGGAAATTAATAGGAAAGGGAATGACCGCATATTCAGCTCAAGCCCTATATTTTCCCTTAAGACCCGGGGATCAGGTGGCTTGGTTTTTTTGATTCATTAGTGCACGCTTATTAGATGCCAGCAAGACCTCTGCACTGTACTCTCAGGCCTGAGATATGGATGCGGAGAGGTGAAGAGGGCAGAATCAGAGTGAAGGGAAGATAGAACCCCCTTTGACCTAACTGCGGTTATGATATAGGGTAGGCAGTGAATACAGGATGTGGCTAAAATAAGATTTAATAGTGACAAATGGAGCTGAGATAATAGCCAGGGCACTCCCATTATGATGCCAGCCACTCCCTTAGCTCTTTCCCCAACCTGCTAAGGACGCAGACATAGACAGTTCCATAGATGAGTGTCTATGCATCATACGCATTTGCTCCCATGGCAACAGATATCAGACTAGACCGGGCTCAAAGTCATCCAGTCTCCCATCCATGCAGAGATCACGGAGGTTGATCTTGAGCAGATTTCCTCTTTTGAGTATCTTGACCTAGGATTGATTCTTTATCTATCTATCTATCTATCTGTCTATCTATCTATTATCTATCTATCTATCTATTGTCTATCTATCTATCTATCTATCTATCTATATTTCATAGCTGGCCATTGATAGCAATGGCATAAGCTTAAAGAGTCAGAAAATCAGAGAACAGCGAATATCCTGGTTGTGGTCATGCTTAGAATGGTCACCTATGAAGTTTTCATGCAAGAGAAGACGAGGTCCAGTCATTCAATCTTTCTTAGCTTCCGTGGGCTCTACTTGTTTTTCTCTTGTTCCTCCGTGCTTTCTTGCCCTGAATCTCCCAATGCTTTAGGGAAATTGTGTGAATTGCTCCTCCCTGGGAAGGAGACTGAATGAGGAGCAATGGAATATGGAAGCAGATCCCAGAACACGAGAAGTCTGGAGTTGAGCCTCAGGCTGAGTTCCAGGTGATGGGCACTACTGCCCTGTCATTTGGTACATGGCCTTCGATAGCAATGCCGGGTTTGAATCCTGAGCCACTTACTGTTTGGGAATTTCGGCTTTTCTTCCTATGTTTCAGGTTTTATATATATACAGGGTCCGGCACAAAGAGTACCCCGCTTTAATCACAAAATCTTTCATTACAAAGTCCTAAGTATATAATTCTGGAACAACACTATCACACTCAAGCACACCATATGACATTTTAGGTGAAACGTTCAAATTAAAACTATAACTTTATTACACCCATATTATTACCCTACCAACCACACTCAAGCAGGTGTTACTTCTGCCAGACTATATATATATATATATATACACATATATATATAT